ATATATATTTCAGATATACACACACAAATACAGAATATGTACTCTCTTTAGCAGTGGTGACATGTATACCTGCTGCTCCTGTTGAACATGATGTGGTCCCATGTCTATGTATACGGCATCTTTATCATAGACCACACCACCGACACCTGAGAGGGGAGCGTAGATTGTTTTCTCCTTTTCATTTAGAGAACGCTTCTTCAGTTTGTCAGGGAGTGGACATGGATCAGACAAGAAGCTTACATCTGAAAGGGCAAAATCCCCAACACCTAAAACAGACACAGCGGTATAAGCATTGGGATGCCATATTACAGACAGAGATTTTACTTACTAAACAGCTCTGACTTTTCACAGAAACATGCTAAAAAATGCAGATCAAAACTGACCAGAGGTCTTCAGAGCTCTCCTGTGGCAGTGACAGACATACAGACCACAATACCTTCAGAACCATATAAACATTCAGAAGTCCTAGCAAAATAACAACACAAGCTTGTCTAAATCATGTAAATGTATAACCTGGTAGGTGAACTTGGCTCTTATTCTTTAAATATGCCCCACGCAGGTAACCGTACAGAGAAACTTTGCGGTCACACTTAGGATTCATTCTGATATCTTCTGGATTAGTTAAATCTTCCATCCTGAGGATTAAAAAAATAAAGATTACTTTTATAGTGAAATTCGAGGGATGAAGTCGACCCAAGACTATGAATGGAAAAGATCAGTACAAAGAAGATAGAGGAAAATGTATACGAATTAGTTCAACATAAAACATTTACATTGAAAACATCAAGAAAATATAGGTTAAGCTTCTCTTAACCTATATGCTAACTCATGTAAAAAAAATTATTTATATGGGTTGATTTCCTAAAAGAACTGAGACTGCTGATAGCTTAGTAAATATGATTAAGCCATGAAAACTTCCAGCACTGAATCATGCTGCACGCAAAAAAATGTTTCTTCATTTCTCACGCACTTGATTGGGTATTCAAAGTGAAAAAAGCTTCACCTTTTTAATTAGATCGGTGAAAGTTACTTTTCCAAAAGTGAACATTCAGTTTTCTCAGTGAACAGTCTTTATTCCTTTAGTATGTGAAGCTTAGTTGTAACCAGCTTTATACTCTTTCAAAGCTGAACATAACTCACCCCAAAAGAGGAGCACCAGCCAGAAGAGAACGTGGAGTGCAACGCTGGGCATGGAGAGGGCGAGTAATGCTTTGGGATCTTTTCTTATAAAATTTTAGTGAAGCGGTCCTTTCAGTAAGCCTATGCAGTTACAATAACTGAAGCCCTATTATACAGAAGTGCACTAAAAAGATGTCTACAGGCCTAGTTACAAACAGGTGACAATTGCCGCTCCCATTTAGGACTCAACTGTTCCACATACAGCTGCTGACCTAAATGGACAAGGGGTGGTAGGGAAAATAGTCTTAAAGTCATCAATAAGTGCCACTTCGATTAAATGAGCAGCGATCTAGTATGCCCCCCGCCGTGGTTTTTGGGGTCCCCCGCTCTTCTGGGGGGACCCGGGCAAATGAACTCGGGAAGGAGAGCGGAGAATGTCCGTTCTCCGCTCTGTGATCAGTGAGACTGGAGTGCTGTAATCACAGCGCCACCTGTCTCGGATGTCAGAAACTGCACAGAAGATCTGTTCTGTATTGGAGGGCAGGTTCCATAAAGAAAACCTGTCACTTCCAAACTATCACATAGGGACTTATAATCCCCTGTGTGATAGCAATAAAATTGAGTGAAGGGGGGAGTGAAAAGGTAAAAAATAATAAAATGTAAAAAAAATAAAACCAATTTAAAACCAACCCGCTACCTCCCACCATCTGCATGCAAATAAACACACGCATTGGACATTGCGTTTGTTGAGTGTTGCCGCCATTCCACTGTGTGCCATATTGTGGTAGCCGGGCAGAATTCAATAACACACACAACGCGCATTAAAGGGGTAAGTTCTCTTCCCATGGTCATTTGGGAGAATTTAACTACCCGATCAAATCTGGCCCCGTCTCTACCCCCACTCTACTACTTTTTGGCGAACAGTCCTTCCCCTCCACCAGTAATGTATTATCTGTGCCCTGTACTGCTGTCCAGCCCTGCACTATGCATTTTAAATTTCACTTGCAAATTTTGTATCGGGGCAAGTAGACTGTTATGAGAGACAAGTAGATTGGGCCCCCGCTTTAGACCTTGGGCAAGTAAATTTTTTTTATTTCCACACCCCTGCAAAAGCATTCTTTGATGCGATTAGCCTAGATGGGTTGTTTTCTAGAAAACAGACATAACACTAGACATAACTGAGTAACTTATCAGTAACAAGAACATAAACCATGTGTCTTGTTTACAGTGGTGGATGAAAAAAAGGGCCACCATCTCACCTATCTGCTAGAACATAAGGATGAGAAGTCTGCCAGACCAGCGGGCGAAATTTCATTACAGAGATAAAGCGTCCCAGATTACGGATTTCTTGTTTTTGGTACTCTGAATACACCATCCCCGAGAGGTAGAACAGCTTGGCACCCTACAAAGAAAAATGACCTTCAGGTTACATCACTTAGTATATCAACTAATCTATGACAGACAGGGTATCGGTGTATATGACAAACAGATGAACCAATCACAGAAGGTTCAAGTCTCTAATGTCTGAGGGTTTTGTGGTTTGCAATAATAAATATGAAATGACAGTTGTCTCTCATCTGTGAAACATGACACTGGGTATGATCCCTAGTGCACTGACATTTACGAGCTGAACAGGACAGGTGCAAGGCAAGGTAGAAATGGTCCTAGGGCAAAAGAACAGGCCAGGAAACTTTATAGTGTATTGATACCCAAAATGTTTTTTTCTAGTTATGCATAGAGTGGGGAGGGTCTAAACCCGTCAGGTTTTACTGCTTTCCGGAGCTCTGAGATTTCTCCTTACTCTCTGCCTTGGGGACAACCTTTAAACCAGACAGAAAATGAATGGAACACTGTAATAACAAAAGCACTTTTAACTTCCTTATGCGTTTGCTATTAAAGTAGGGGAGTGCTAAAACCTTGTTAGGTTTTTATTGTCCGTTTCCCTGTTGCAGACTTGTCTCCAGAAATCTCTGTAACAGAGCCCTGGATAGCAGTAAAACCTGAAATGTTTTCTACCATTCAAACCCCCCCCCCCAAAAAACACAAACACCACATGGTAGCTTTGAACCACAATAATAAATACGGTTAATAAGCACTCCTGGCAATGCTATAAAGTTTGTTTCAACCCCTGTAATTGTCAGCTTGGTCTACATTTAAATGTTGAGAAAACTATAAAGTCCTGCAAAATAAAAATTATATACTGTATTTTTAAAACCATCATTCCAGGTTTACATCTTATACAGTTACCAGAACACAATACTTTTCCCTACAGTGGTCCTTTATTATAGAGCCAAATACCTAATACCAGCTGCAGTTGTACTATATACAGCCTTCATTTTAGATGAAAATGAAGCCAAGCATACCTTCTTTTAATCTATAGGTTACACAGCAAGTGCCATCCAGAGTAATATTTAATAAATTATAAAGGCACCTGATAAACTTCAGTCCAGAATCTGTGCTTCAGCCTCTTCTTGACCTTGCGCAATTGCTTGTTGTTCTTGAAGGAGTCCAGGTGGGTTAGGACCCCCATTATTTTTGGAAAGCCATGGACCTGGCAGATGTTCAGGAACTCAAATGTCTCCATCTCAAACCCAAAACTTGCATCTATGAGCATCAAGACCTGTTGGAAAAGAGAATGAACAATAATATTCAATGTCACTCTATTGGCTTCGTATTAGACCATACCTCTAAAACAGTGTGCAGAGGGACAGCGACTTATCCGGGTCTAAGGGTAAAGCTAGGCCCAGACATTGGATGGTTGACATGTATTGTGCTAGTAGCACACAGTGAGCTACTATTTTTCTAGTTGTGGAATTTTAGTATTTTGTAATGAATGAACCACAAATAGTTTGATTACAATGGCTTGACTACTGACTTCATGGGAACTAGGGATGCACAGATACCGATACTAGTATCAGCGCCGATACCACGTATTTGGGCGAGTACTCATACTCGCCCAAATGCCCCGATACCAGAACTTTAGCAGTGCCGCAAGGGAACATGAAGTTGGCTTCCCAATCAAGAAGCCGGGTGGAGGGTAATGACTCGCTGCTCAGCTTCCTGACTGGCCGGGAAGCCGGTCCATGCTGTTTGGCCGGCTCGATGCCGATTGGCCGGGAAGCCAGTTTCCCAGCCAATCAGCAATGCTACATACTCTGTGCTGCTCTAGGGTGCAAGCTTGATGTCTCCAGCGGAGGCTCTCAGGTGGCTGTGCGGACTCTCAGGTGAGCTATGCGGGGTTAATGGGGGCTGTGGAAGCTCTAAGGTGGGCTGTGCAGTTTTTTGGATGGCTGTGTTGGGTTAATGAAGGGCTGTGCGGTCTCACCCAGGGTCCCAGTTTGTCTCGATGGGTTCAGGCGTCGTGGAGGAGGAGATCTGTGAAAAGCGCTGAGAACAAGTGCCGCCGTTCACAGGAAGGCCATTGGGACCTCGGTAGTCTTCCTGTGTTACAGCGCCGGCTGCAGTTTAAAAATGTAGAGTGCCAGTATTAGCGCTTTGTATAGGGTCATTTTCATGAGTACAAGTACTTGTGGAAATGCCCAGTATTGGCACTGATACCGTTATTGGTGCCTCTCTAATAATTAGCAATTTTAACTATTTCTTTTGCAATCACAATTAAGTACAATCAAGTACACAGTAATGTATGTATAACATCTGGTATCATTCTTCCTATTTTTTCCAGTGTTTATACAAAACACTGCGTTTGTGTTTATTTTTAAGTCTGTAACTCTGGTAGCTAGAATGTTGTTTTATTCACTTGACATAGTTAGAATTGGAAAAAGTATTAAGAGTGTCAATACATTATTAAGGGAAACATTTTCCTTACCAGATCTGCAACTTTAGCCAGATCTATCATGGTATTGATGTCACAGCCACATTCTATGATGGTAAGGCGACGCTTTTTCCCTGCAGAAAAATAAGATCATGTCACCACAAGGAAATCCTGGATTACCCGTTAGAATTGTGAATCCACCAATGTGTGTGAAGAACATCAAGATCTTAAATCAATATAAATATGCTTCACGTTGCCTTTTTACCACAAACAAAAAAAACATACAAATCACTGAAAGGCTAAAATAAGTAAATGGTAGAGTTTCCATGAAATAAAGAACCTCGTGAAAATAACTGTTATAATAACCATTGTATTATAACAATAGACATACTATAATATGTTGCTCTATAGTGTTTATTTTTACAATATTCATCTATGAAACTCACCAGAAACAATGGTCACAGGTCCACGGATTTCACTCAGCTTCTGCTTGGTAAAGTTTTTAATCAGACATCGGATCAGGGTGCTCTTTCCAACTTTTGGGGGTCCAACCACCACCACAACCACAGGAGGAGGCTCTAATGGGGTTCGATCAACAACTGGAATGTGATGCTTTTTTGTCTTGAGATCCTGTGTCCTATAGTAGAAAGACATTAGACAGATTTATTTACAATAGATTGGTTTCTTTTACTATTTGTGGATTCTGATGGACAGATCCCTGTGCTCAAGTTTAAGTCTGTACAACCACTGGGGTCAATATGAAAAGGATCTTATTGCCCTTGGTAAAGTCTTTTATGTTATATTACTGTGAATTTAGCAGGAGAGGATAGATTCCTCTAGTGAGAGGTGGATTCTATGGCTTCTCCTTTCACTCTCTCAGTCACAGGATTGGGAGGGAAAAGACCTGCAGGTGTTACTTTACTGAAGTAAAGAAAATCAGGTCCCCTGGTCCTCCAGACAGGACTACATGTGTGGAAGGTATGTCTGAATCTCAGGTCAGGAGGACTCTGATGAAATGTGAGCAGTGTATAGACACCTTTTTAGGTAAGGGCTCATTCATTCTAGTGCGTTGCGGTAAAATGTGTGCATTACAGCAATGCAGCCTGTAAACGTTGGTGTCTTGTGGAGGCACCCCAACCAATGTATTACAGAGCATGTTGCAGTGCAATGCAAAGAAATACATCATGCACATCATTTACATGTGCTGAGATGCCATTCAGTCCATTTTGAATAGGCTACGTAAGGCAATGCATGACAACACATCAGCTGCTGCTCAATGTCTTACGGTGTGAACAAGCCCTAAGTGTTGCTTTCAACTTCAGTGTTGCCCAATTAAAGCTCCAATTGGGGAATTTTCTGGTACAAAAATTAGTTCTATAGATCTGTGTTGGGCTGGCAGATGGTACATATATATTTAGAGGCCGGTAACATTAGGTAATATCAGTTCACCTGTGGAAGTTCCTTGCCATGCGCACTGCAGACTGCACTGCAAAGGCTTTAGGATTCCTTTTTCTGGCATCTTCTTCTGTAGCGACTCCTGCTTCCGCCTGCTGACGATTCTTCTTCTTGCTTGCTTTGGGTCCGCTGTTTTTCTTGCGGTGTTTCTTTTGGTCTTTTTCCTCCATCTTCAGAAGTGTTTAGAGGCCTATGTCTATAGAATAAAATGTAGATGCATAATCAATTTAGGTGCATCACATGGCAAAATGCCAGGGGTGGACAAGTGAGTGCAAGAGCCATTCATTCCCATCTGTTTTCCAGCAGGCATCATTAAAGTGAATGTATGCTCATATTAACTTGGAGCAATCTCAGGACCTCAGTTTTATGTCCCACATATGTATCCAAATGAAGCAGGACAGGCACTGGTTGGATTTCTACAGAGTTCTGCTCACTGAAATCCAAGCAGTGTGTGCCCCCATCGGCAAGCCTTCATTTGACAGAAGTCAATTTTTTTATTTGACTTTTGTTGAAGGAGCTGGTGCAACAATTCTCAGCCAAATAGTGATTGCAGCCATTCAGCTAAAGTTATTGTTTAGGTATTCTGACAGCGGCACACACGGCACTGTAAGAATACAATAGCCTGGTGGAGGGGGATCCCCCATATGCTCTGTTTAGCGTGGACTGTGAATCAATTGGTATTTTCTCATTCTGCCCAGGAGGCTGAATGAGACAAATTAATAGGTGCATGTTCAGCTTTTCTGTCACAATGGCAAGCGTCCTCCATGTGCACAGTTTAGCACTCTCCAGCCACAAAGTGCACTACATCTAATAACTCCAATAAGCCTTATTCTACATGAAACTGTCCACCCACTATAGGAAGTTACCAAAGTAATGCTAGATACCTTACAACACATCATGCTGGTCTGAAGGACCACAATGCACTAAGATCTGATTTACCATATGAGATCAGTCTATATTTTTCTTCTTTTCAGACACTGCCTTTAAAGTGGTAGCTAACCCTAGAATTTCTCAATGAACATGACACAGCCATATACCACATTTACCTTAATAAATGTATAGCAGCATGGTTGACTTCTGTTGGCGTTCTGGTTGTCCAGCAATCAGCAACTGGAAACTGCCGGCTATTACCAATGACAATATGCAACTCATGATGATGCTCAGCCTCCCTTGTGCTATCTACATCCTGCGATTGCTAAACATGACTGGGAAAGGCTTCCCTAAAATTGTCAAAGCTAAAGATAGAATGAGGAGGACTGAGCAACACCATGAGTTGCATAGTGTCATTGGTAATGGCCGGCAGTTTCCAAGGCTGACTGCTTGAGCACTAACAGAAGTCAAACATGGTGATATACTTTAATTAAGGTACAAATGACATGGAAAGACGTCACCACTTGGAGCCCATGTAAAAATCCCTCGCCTTTGGAATGCCGGGTGCAGACCAACGAGAGCCAAACTAGACTATGAACTCAATAGGAAAGCAGGACCATGCACACCGATGATGTCAGATCGCATCCAACTCTATTAAATTTGAGATGTAGCACACTGCAGCCCAGCCTAGGACTGCCCCTCTCTAACGTTTCACCCGATATTGGCTTGAACACAGAAATAAAGTCGGGTGTGATCTGATGTCCGTATCAAGGTACATTTGTTATTACGCATGTTTAATGTTCAGTTATTCTAGAGTGAACCTCTACTTTAAAGAGTCTCTAAGACAAAATTTACTTTGTGAATAGGGAAGGGTTTAGAGTAGGGGGGAAGGGTTTAGAGTAGGGGGGAAGGGTTTAGAGTAGGGGGGAAGGGTTTAGAGTAGGGGGGAGGCAACTCCGGGTCATCCAGTTGTTGTGGAACCACAAGTTCCATGAGGCATTGCAAGACTGACAGTTACAGACATGACTCTCAGAGGCAAAGGCATATTGAGATTTGTAGTTAACGAACAGCTAGAGGGCCAGAGTTGCCCACCCCTGGTTTAAATAATTGTCAGGTTTTAAATTGTATTTTCTACTGTCTATGTCCCATTGGGGAGATTTGTCCTCACTTCCCAGACACAACAGGAGTGAGGAGATTGTTCTAACTTAAGGAAACTCTAAAAGGTGCCCATGCACCTTCTCCACTCCATCCAAAACTATAACAAATCATTAAAGAAAACAACGTGATGTAAATACACAGAACAGTGCATTGTAAAACACAGGGGTCATAAAACACTGCTGAGACCACCATCAGAGACATTTCCAAAGAGAAGTCCCCTAAAGCCCTGGAATGGGTCTAATCCAGCTGGCAAATCTATGCCAATAATGGCAGCTGAACCGACCATGGGTATACTTATATTTGAGGGAAATGATGATGATGTGCCCCGATTACAGCTTCACACATCTTTACTTATCACCCAATAACAGTACCGCACGGAATACCACCGACTCACCAGACCTAGCTTCTCTAGTCCACACCAGCCTACAGCATCCACATGGGTGCCAGATCCGCCGGAAGTGTCCGCAGCTAATGCGTTCCGTGTGAAAACAACAGCAAATAGGAACCATGTTACATGAAATGTTTACATCCTGTCCGTGTATTCTGTGCACCGATATAAATATGTGATATGTCAGCGCTCATAGTATACACTGTACATGCCCCCTTTATAATGTGACGGCGTATGGCCTGTACTTTGCCCCCTGGTACTTCGCTTTGTGTGTCTTTATATTGATAAAAACTTAAATACATCGCTGGGGATTTTTCAAAACTGGAGCAGACAGAATCATTTTTAAAGCTTAACTGAACAAGCTGAAGAGAGAAGCAGACTGGTTACCACAAGCAACTACTCCAGATTCTGTCTGCTCCAGTTTTGATAAATCCCCCCATGTCTCATTATCTGCTGAAACCTGACATTGTTATCCAGATTTTTTTTTGCAAAAAACAACCTCTGCGGTCTATATATTAATATATCAGCTTCCTTTCAGATTTGAGCATTTTGTGAAGCACACGTTTTCTGAAGCATGACAACACTCAATATGAAGAATCCCACCACGTGTTGTCTGACGCTTAAAAACAAGCATGGGCTTATTCAGACACCATGGTTCATTTCTGGCCCCATATAAACTTAATGTATAATGTTCGTTTTCCATGTGTAATAACTATTTTACCGTTGGCTAAAAAAAAAAATGCCTGAAAATTGGGCACAAAAAGCTTTGAAATTGCCTGGAACAGCTCATGCTCAAGTGTGAATGAGGGTTAAACCCAAGATTCGCACAACTTTTGTTGAAACCAGGTGAGAGTTGAGTGATTCTAGTGTAAAATCATTGATAGATCCCCTGATTTTTTTTGCAGTTCTAAATAATTACTATACTGTGGATAATGAAATGAATAAATAGGCCCCTGTGTGGTGAAAGTACCAGGATAACATCATATACAGTATATGGTTGATGTCATCATAGTATTTAATATATGAATTCCTGTTTTCTCTCACAAGCCTTTATAATGACTGAGTGTCTGTGGGAGTGAAACATGTTAGAAGTCTCTGTTCATCTCCTGCGTCATTTATTTTAAGGATCAATAAAGAAGCTGTTTTTGGAATATTTTGCTGTACTAACGTCCACTTTTTCTGCAACAAACTGTGGCAGGCAAACGTGGACCGACCTGGAGCGACACTCAGGTTTATTGAATAATACTAGTATTTAGTACATGGATTCCTTTTTTTTATCTCACACCTTTACATTTTATCCACATTTACATGCAGGCCAAGCTGACCAGTGGAAGAGACAGTGACAGTTTGTGGGACAAAGTGCAACACTTTTGGGGTGTTTTAATGGTTTCATTTTATTCCTATAAGTAGAACAGTTGATGTGCACCCCCCCAGCAGCAATGGAACTGCTCCCCGTCACGGTCACTGCCACTGACTGGGCATCTTGGCCTGCATGCAAAGAATATAAATAAAGATATGTTCATAATTGCCAATATTTGAAAGGAACTAGTGGAGGCAATATGAGGGTGTGAGATTAAAAATGCAGCACACAGAAGACATGGCGGTAAGACCACAAAGTGTATGTGGCAAATGAATTACATAAATATATTATAACTATTAAGTCTTAATGTCTCTTTACGGCGTATGACTTGTAGTGTTGCACATTTGACAAAACAGGTCTGGTGGGGATTCAGAAGACAGAAAAGTGTTGTGCTGAATATTGAGGATGATTAATTGGAATCTGAGCTTACTCACAATATACAGTGCATACACATGGTACTTACTCCTTCATTACAAAGTCATGGGTAAGACTCTCCCATACACGCATTAACAAAGGATCAAAGGATCATTTATAAAATGAAAACTCCTCCATAGCATATACTCTTCTGCAAAAAAGGACCAGTTTACTGTCCTTAAGACCCCAGTGCAGAGGTGTCAAACTCAAATACACAGTGGGCCTAAATTTAAAAAATGCTCCAAGTCGAGGGCCAGCCTGGTTCACACAGTATAATACCGCTGCCTATACAGTATATCACACAGTATAATACCCCGGCCTATACAGTATATCCCACAGTATAATACCACGCCCTATACAGTATATCACACAGTATAATACCCCGGCCTATACAGTATATCACACAGTATAATACCGCGCCCTATACAGTATATCGCACAGTATAATACAGCGGCCTATACAGTATATCACACAGTATAATACCGCGCCCTATACAGTATATCACACAGTATGATACCCCGGCCTATACAGTATATCACACAGTATAATACCGCGCCCTATACAGTATATCGCACAGTATAATACCCCGGCCTATACAGTATATCACACAGTATAATACCGCGCCCTATACAGTATATCACACAGTATAATACAGCGGCCTATACAGTATATCACACAGTATAATACCGCGCCCTATACAGTATATCACACAGTATAATACAGCGGCCTATACAGTATATCACACAGTATAATACCGCGCCCTATATATCACACAGTATAATACCGCGCCCTATACAGTATATCACACAGTATAATACAGCGGCATAAACAGTATATCACACAGTATAATACAGCGGCCTATACAGTATATCACACAGTATAATACCCCTGCCTATTAAAAAGCATGATACATCATTACAATAAAACATTTTCTTTTAACTTTATTTACTTTCCCTCTAAGAAATAGCCTAAATATTTAAATAATAAAAGCCAAAAACAGACATTAAATAGTACAGTGCATTTACAACAAAATAATTTACTTACGAAAAAGTTTTTCCATCTGGTGCTTGCTTCTGTGGATTCTTCCCCTGCTTTCTCTCTTCATTGCGCAGGCCCCATAAGCTCTTCATCCCTACTCTGAGGTCTGGCAAGGCAGGGACAGCCGCGGGCCTTTCCTACAGAAGCTGCAGGGCATTTCCAGCTTTAGAGATGGCCCGTGCCGCATCATTCCTGTGTCATAAAGATGGCCGCCGATCAGCGTCTGCCATGTTTAAAGCCAGATCTAATGATAATTAAATATTAACATGGGGCCAAAGGCCTTGCGTTTGACACCTATGCCCTAGGGGTTAGACTGTGGTCAGTGGGAGGGAAAAATACCCCAGGTTTGGTGGTCTTTGGGTGTAAAAAGTGACCTAAACTAAGTGGTTTGTGGATGTAAAAATTGACCTAGACCCAGTGGTCTGTGGGAGTACAAAGTGACCTAGATTCAGTGGTCTGTGGGTGTAAAAAGTGACCTAAGCTTGGTGGTCTGTGGGTGTGAAAAGTGACCTAGGTTCGGTGGTCTGTGGGTGTAAAAAGTGATCTAAGCTTAGTGGTCTGTGGGTGTGAAAAGTGACCTAGGCTTGGTAGCGTGTGGGGGTAAAAAGTGACCTAGGCTCAGTGGTCTGTGGGTGTAAAAAGTGACCTAGGCTTGGTAGTGTGTGAGGGTAGAAAGTGACCTAGACTGGGCGGTCTGTGAGTGTCAAAAGTGACCTAGGCTTAGTGGTCTGTGGATATGAAAAGTGACCTAGGCTTGGTAGTGTGTGAGGGTAGAAAGTGACCTAGACTGGGCGGTCTGTGAGTGTCAAAAGTGACCTAGGCTTAGTGGTCCGTGGATATGAAAAGTGACCTAGGCTTGGTAGTGTGTGGGGGTAATAAGTGACCTAGACTTGGTCGTCTGACCGTCTGTTGGGGTAAAAAGTGACCTTGACTCGGTGGTCTGTGGGTATAGAAAGTGACCTAGGCTTGGTGGTCTGTGGGTGTAAAAAAGTGACCTAGACCCAGTGGTCTGTGGGTGTAAAAAGTGACCTAGACCCAGTGGTCTGTGGATGTGAAATGTAACTGAGGCTCAGTAGTCTGTGAGAGTAAAAAGTGACCTAGGCTCGGTAGTCTGCGGGAGTAAAAAGTGACTTAGGCTTGGTGGTCTGTGGGCATAAAATGTAACCTAGGCTCATGGTCTATGGTGTAAAAAATTACCTAGATTCAGTGGTCTGTGGGCGTAAAAAGTGACCTAGGCTCGGTGGTCTGTAAGTGTAAAAAGTGACCTAGGCTTGGTGGTCTGTAAGTGTAAAAAGTGACCTAGGCTCGGTGGTCTGTAAGTGTAAAAAGTGACATAGGCTCGTGGTGTGTGGGTGTAAAAAGTGATCTAGGCTTGGTGGTCTGTAAGTGTAAAAAGTGACCTAGGCTTGGTGGTCAGCGTAAATAACAAAATTACCCAGCGCCAGTGTAGGGGTGGAATAATGTCCCGTCATCGTGACTGGGAACTTTCCATGTTGATGAGTCTGAGATTGGGGAATAGTGGGGGGAGGGCAAGGAAGAGGGGCAATAGGGGCACATGTAGTGCACCACACCACTAGGTGTACTCAAAGGAAATAAGTACATGTTAGTAAGGAGATAAAATGTTACAATTTAAGGGACCTCTGGAAAGAATGAGCATATAGGGGTAACCATTCCTATCCCCATAGCATCAATAATACCATTTATCAGCTCATTATTTTCAGCAGTCTCTTGAATTGTAACATTGCATCTCCTTACTAACATGTATTTATTTCCTATGATTCATAGCTCCATCTAGTGGCCATAAGGTGGTATGTTCCCCATTCACACTTAACTATTGAAGAACATTCAGCCAGAGAAGAAATTAAAATAAGAATATTCACTTTTGCCCCATTCTCACAAGAGCTGGCTGTCGCACAGAATGAATGTACCTGCAGTTTTGCTGGATGAATAAGTTATGCAATTTTTTATAAATAGACCCCCTACGAGTGAGGGTCTCCTCTAATACAAGAATAGTGTTGCTCTCTGATTGGATGATATTGCACAGAAGACATTTATTGGCAGCCACTTGGGAGATATAATTTTGTGGGATTAGTTGGAAAGAATTTTTACTTTCTCAACTTTTATTTATAGTTTTTCTTGTATTCTTTCTTTTGCAGCTCATAAATAAACAATAATATATTAGTTAATTTACAACATTGGCTAGACTTATTATTATTACAATTATTCCTGTTTATTAAGTCGCATCATAGATTGCC